CTATATATATATATATATGCTAATTTTTTTTCTAAAATACAAAATACAAAAAACTGAAGGGAGGTCATCCCTGTGCCTTTCATAACTGGATTTTTGAACAAAAAGCACCACGGATTGGCAATTATTCTCACCATCTTTCTGAGGATGGGACATAATGGTCAAAGTAAAGATAGGAACCGGTACAACCGTGAAACTCACCGGCGTTCAAAGATGTATAGATCGATATTGGGCGAAAGAGGATGAAAACTAGTATCGTATTTTGTGTTGGAAGATAGTTGCCGGAAATAAGATTATTCACAAATTTAATGTTTTTAAGCCGGATTTCACGGTTAACGGTTGAGATATTGTCAATTTCATAGACAATGCCTCCAGAATATAGTGAAGCTTGGTCTGTGTCACAGGTGAGGCCCAACGCTGGGAGGCCACAGTCTTTCCAACCATCATTTCTATAAAATGGAAATTTTATGCTGGAAAAGTTTCCACAGTGGAATGGAGGACAGGATTCAAAAGACTGGTCTTGAAGTGTATGATTTGAGGCCAGAGATAAGGAGGGAAATTCTGGCAAGAAAACCGGCCATTGATACATACATTGACATCACTGTGGATCAATGTGAGAAAGAGGGAGAGAAACTTTTGATTATATGGTTTGTTTTTGCAATTCTTTGGCCACCAAAATGCAAGAAACTTAGTAACCCCTGTCTTCATTAACGTTGCATTGTTTATGTCCATTTAAACTCCGAAAGGATCCTATGTTCTATTCTATGGCCATTTGTTTGATGTTTGTTGTCAAAATCAAATTTCTTCTTGTAATCATTTGCTATTCAGATTTGAAATTAATTTTTGCGAGGGCCGAAATGTTCATCTAAGTCGAAGATCAGGTGATAACGGGCCATGTCGGAGCTGGATCGGGGTTAATCTGAGCCCCAAGTATGCCAGTACATGGTCAAGAAGCCATTCTCCTGCCGAAGCCCAGCTGGGAAGCATGCTGCATCAGAGCATGGCAATGGCTCGGGCCTGGGCCAGACTTCAGGGCAGGGTTGGGCCAGGCTGGGTAAAATTAAAAGAAAACAAAACAAAAAGATGAAAAAATAAGGCTGGACCGGGCTGGGCCTGTCTTGGCCTAACCCAAGCCTGGCCATTAGACCACATTTTGTGGGCCAGGCCCTAATTTTTAGGGCCGGGCTGACCAAGTCAAGCCAGGCCACCCAGCCCATTGCCACCCCTAGCCTGGCCATATTATTGGAATGGCCCGTGAGGCCCAAGCCCATACCCATCTATCCGATTATGATTGGGTTTAGTGGGAATTGGATGACCTCCAAAAATTTAAATAGTTTATTTTTAAGGTTCACGATTATTTGTCTTTTCATATTTACTGTAGTGATTGAGATTATCAACCTGAGAAAATTTTTATCTGAAATTCATCTTTCACATTTATTGTTGGAAGGAACCCACATTTGAGTAGAAATACACCAAAGAATTTAATTATAAGCCCTAAAATCTGAAAGGGACGGTCTTGATAAGAGACTGATAAGTAGGTTTCTAAAATTTCTACAATGGCCCGATGCCTGGGTAGCCCTGCCCCTCAAAAACTTGGGCGTCCATCCTAAAATGTGGCTTGAGGGAAGGGCCAACACAGCTAGAGGGTCAGGCCAAGCCAAAGCCATGATATGGCCAGCCCAGTCCTACCATATTTCCCCTATATTTTTTCTTTTTTTTGAATTGCATCTGTTAGACCTAGCCTAGCCTTCAGCCAAGACTGGACCAAGGCCGGGGTTTGGCTAAGGTCATTTCAATCTAGTTTGGGCTAGGGCAGATACCGGATTGTGCTATAAAGATCATGGCTTGGCTAGGGTCAGGTCTGGCCAGGCCCATTGCCATCTCTAAAATGAGTGCTCATAAGTGCCCATCGTGCATAGGGTACGAGCTGGAGCTTGACCCGATCAACAACTGGGTCTGAGGTTAGGCAAGCCTCGTGCAAACTAAGCCCTACCAAATTCAGGGGTGAAGGGCCCTCGGCCAACAAACCCTAATTTAAGATTCATTAATCATTTCTTAAACACATTAATGATGGTGTTTCGTTTGTTTGGCCGTCCCGTATGTGTGGATTTGGCCTTTTTATGTTTGCTTTGGAGATTGATATTGCGTTTGGCATTTTATTAGAGAAATGCCAAACGAAGCTATTAAAAAAATATACTGCTGAATGTATAGCATATTAGGAAAGAAGTTGAAACTTTATGGCAGCTTCGTTCACATGAAATTGTTTTTAGACATTTTTATATAAAAAAATTCTCTCACGTGATTAAGTATGCATCTTGCAAACAAAACCCACTGTGGTTATATGATATATCAAGCTGTTATTACCATTATAATAACAAGATGCTGTTCAGCATAACCACCGTAACAGCAGATCGTTGGACCATGAATTTAACCCTAAGAAATACAAAGGTCCATTTTGTGAATCAATAAAAGATAACAACAGCCATTCCCAAAAGAAAATGAGAGATGTCTTATCAAAAAAAAGTTATATAGAGTTGAGACTCTAAACTATCATATTAGAGCCGACCTCAAAAATTTCATTAGTGGAGGTTATTTTAATGCCCAAATATCCTCAAACTAATCATCTCGACATCAAGATACATAGACATCTGAAAAAAAAAGATTACAAGTTTTAGAAATAATGCAATCTTGTAACACATTTTTGGACCATCAATTTTAAATATTGTCAAATTTTTATAGATCAGCTTGATCTACACTATTTTTGAAGCTTTAAATTTTATATTTAAAGATGAAAATATATTTTAAATCTATCACAAAGAATTTTAGTATTGAAACCGAATTTCGCAACCCTATTTGAAGGAGGACTTTACTTTGGTTGTTTAGAGACTCAGCTCTATACAAACCGCACCCACAGCTCATATTTAACATAGCAATTGTAAAGGAGCCCGTTAGTTCAAATCAGACTTTAACTCTTGGCTGAGCCCTAGCCCAATCCCTGTCACTTGGTGAGCCCGAATGAACTTGCCAGGGCTTTACCCAAGCTAGAAAAATCCTTGGGGGAACAAAAAATTTGGAAAGAGATTTTTTTTCATTTTTTCTTATTTTTTGTTTTTTAGAGGGGTTGTTCGTGGAAAAGAAAGGAAGAGCTTGGGTCACGTGCCTAGGAGAAAGACAGCACATGGCGAATAGAAAGATTGCATGGGGCTAGGAGAAAGGGAGGGAGTGAAGGTAGGTGTTCAAGACTTGGTGAATTCGAGTTGGACTCGATTGAGTTACTCGGCTTGGACAAGATAAACTAAAAAGAATATCTCGATACAAAATTGTCCTTGAATTACCTATGCGGTGTTCGCCTGATTACAGTAGCAACTCACACGAGTACCATAAACTCGGCATGATCTTTACAACACTCAGGCAAGTTGCTACAGTATTCCCAAAGTACCATTGTTGAGAAAAAAGAAATTAGACCATTTACCTTTGATACAAGGAGGTCACAGTTACTTACAACTATCCAATGTAAAATCTGATAGCTTGGGTGTGTCACAATAACTCATTTGAGCTTGGTCAATAAAATAAATACAACCACCGAATTTCACTTCCAATGGTCAAAGATTAAACGTGACCACCTTACACAAAAGATAAATGATGTCATTGTATACTTTTCCATTATTGGAATCTGATGGACGTAGAGTCTTGGTTTTCTCTGCATATTCTTCAGGCCCGTCTTTGAATCCCAGTTTTACTTTCCTCATCTCCTCTCTCTCCCTTAAATCCCATTTTCCATTTTGGAGTGAGACCAAGCAACGTACTCGCCTGGGTCAGAGGTAGAGGCTGAGTAACTCACCTGATTTTGAAATTACAGAAAGAGAAAATTAGTTCTCAAAATTGAAATCCTACAGTTTCATTTTTATTACAGCATCCTTTGCAATTACATCATCATGAAAGCCAATGAGCCATTACTTTTTCCATTAGGTCACCCAAGCAACAATCCACCTGAACTCATATGACCAATGCCATATCATATGCTTGTAGGGATCAAGCAAAGAGATTGAAGGTGGAAAGAAGTATAAAAACAGAAGAAGAGATTGCATCCATCATTCTCAAAATGAAGTTAAGGGAGATGGTGGTATTGGATTATACCTAGGTTCACGAGTTGTCTTCTTAATGTGGTTTTGACAGAGGGCTTGATTAGACTAAGGTATGACCAAATGTGATTAATTGGTAGAGATGATTGGATGAGTTTTTTTATTACCCTATGAGAAAACCAAAGGAAATTTTGGGCATATGTTTCAGCTACAGCATTTGGTGGCTCGCTAAACTTAACGAACATCATGAAACCAATTGGAAATCAAGGGATTATACACAATGAGACTATTTATCATTGTCACAAGGAGGTCATAACTGCTACTAACTATTAGATGTTAAATTTGATGAATTGGGATATTCCACGAAGTTCGAAAAATTTTTATTTTTTTGAACTATGAGTTTAGTCAATGATACACTCACAATCATCGGATTTGAAATCTGACGGACAAGAATATTTATGATCTCCTTGTATTAAAAGTAAATGGTCTCTTTTCATACTTCTCCTTAAAATAAATATTGCTAATAAAAGGGCAATGATGCATTGATCATTTCCTAATAAAAGGATAATAGTATTAGTTGCTTTGAAATCCAAGGAGGCTCACCACCATGCTCCATAATGAACAGAAAAATAAGCTATAAAAGAAAACAAAAATAGAAAGCTTTATTTAAACTAAAAGATTAGGAAAACTCTACAAATTAATATTTAACCAACGGGTCACCTTATTCAGTGAAAGCATTGGTGAAAGTTAGGGTAGAAGAGGAGGGAGAGTGGTTGTTGGCCCATAACATTATTGTTCACCTGTGAAAACCGTGGTCAATTACAAGTTGGATTTGAAATAATGACAAGATTTTATGTAATTCAAAATTTCAAATCTCTCTCTCCTAGAAAAAAGGTTTATACCTCCAAGGATTATTACGCCTTTATCACAATATGGACATTTCTGTATGGCCAGAATCTGACTCGAGGGAAGATCTCTTCTTTGGAGAAGAGAATGAAGGCTTAGGAGGCAAAACTAAAGTTTGCGAGTTACCATCAAGCATTTCAACCACCTTGGTTATACTTGGACGGTCCGTTGGGTTGATTTGTATGCACCAAAGACCAACTACCATCATCCTTTTTGCCATTTCTTTTTCCTCTCCTTTGATATCTCCCACTTCAAGATCTCCTCCACATTCAAGGCGAGAATACACCCAATCTGGAAAGTATACTTCACTAGAATTAGCTTGTTGATCAAAATTTTTTCTCCCACCAACCATTTCCAAGAGCAACATTCCAAAGCTATACACATCGGATTTATGTGAAACAACCCCAAATGATCTTGAATATACTTCAGGAGCCATGTAACCAATCGTTCCTCGAGCACCAGTTAGTGATATTACACTTTGTTTATTGGAGTATAGCTTTGCGAGACCAAAATCAGAAATCTTGGGGCAAAAGTCTTCATCCAACAAAATGTTATGAGGCTTGATATCGAGATGGAGTATGCGAGTTTCACAACCACGGTGCAAATATTCGAGCCCACGACTCGTACCAAGTGCTACTTTATACAGTGTTTCCCAATGGAGGCAATGGCTTCGCGGTTTGTCAAAGAAAATGAATCTTTCGAGAGAGCCATTGGGCATGAAGTCATATATAAGAGCTTTTTTCCAACCATCAGCACAGAAACCAAGAAGGCGAACCACATTTATGTGGTGTATACGGCCAATGGTTGCAACTTCATTAATAAATTCTTCACCACTACCCTTTGGCTCTGCTAGCACCTTTACCGCAATGAGGCGCCCGTCAATGAGCTTACCTTTGTATACAGTTCCAAACCCTCCTTGACCTAACTTTTCCCTGAAGTTGTTGGTCATTTTTTTGATATCCTTGTATGAGTATCTTGTGGGCATTTCATTTTCATAATTCCTAAGGAACTCCTCAACATTCTGGCCCTCTACTCCTTTGGACATTTTAATTATTCCTTTGGACATCATAATAATTGCTATTGTTATAAGTATTGCTCCCATTGTAATTGTAATTAAAATACCTGTAAGAAGAGAAAACAAGTTATGAGCAGCAATGGCATGGTGGCAAGATGTATAGCAAGAATAAGATCTGTGTGATATGGGTAGGAATAAAAAGTTTGTGAGGATAATGTTGGAGGATGATAAATGAATTTTTCAAACTCCACCATGGCAGGTCATGCCAATCTCAAGCCCAGATAAAGGATGAGGGTTCTGTTTGTAGGCAGCCACATTGTAAAACTTTTCCACATATTTTCATGAATCTTGAACTTATTAATGGAACAGGATTAATATTTCTAACCCCAAACAATTGAAATAAGGATAAGACGATGATGATGTTGAATATAATCATAAGTGAGTCAGTTATTTGGATTATTCATTCTAAAGAATTACAATTTGCACTAAACATCAATGATTTGGATTATTCATTCTAATTAAGCATAATTTGCACTAAACATAAAAATATATCCATCCAATTAGATAGTCATTGGAGAAGTCTGATTAGCAGGCATAATATGGATGAGAGAGAGATAGAGAGAAGGTCATTGATTTGGATTATTCTTTCTAAAATAAGTACAATTTACCCTAAACATTAAAGTTCCATCCATCAATTAGACAGCCAAAGGTGAAGTCTGAAAAGTAGGCATAATTTGGATGAGAAAGA